AAGAGCAGAGAACATTTTTAAACTTTTCTCTTTTGTTATAAAAGTAGCTTAACCTCATTTTCTACATAAAATATCTATTTTAAATTAAAATGAAATATTTTTTTTTATTTTTCGGTAAAGTGAAAAACTAATTGATTACTTACACGATTGAAATTAGCATAATATTTTTATACTCCATTTTATGTCAACCGAAAGAAATAGCTCTTAGTTCTGGTAAAAGGGTTGATTGTCAAAAATTTACAATTAATATTAAAATCTTCATTATTTCCTTATATTCATCACTCACCTTTTTTAAAATTCATTATATTCTTATGTAATAACATTATGAATGTAACATTTATGAAGAGATGTTAGGTGAAATATAACAATATAACATATTTTTTTTGATATAATAAATTATTTATAATTACAAATACTATTAAACTAATCCAACTAAATTCATCATCTTTTGCATGTTCAAAGATATTGAATTTAACTATTCTGTCAATGTAAATTAATCTTTATTATTTGAAAATATAGTGCATTTATTTTAACTTCAAATGCTATTTTTCAACAATTATTTCTTCTTGTATACGCTTACAGCTTGTTTGGATGGTTGTTACCAATTGTATCGTATCGTATTGTTACTTTAAATACAATGTTTGTTTTTATTGTTACTTAAATTTTATTGTATCGTATCGTATTGTTACTTTAAATACAATGTTTGTTTTTATTGTTACTTAAATTTTATTGTATCGTATCGTATTGTTACTTTAAATACAATGTTTGTTTTTATTGTTACTTAAATTTTATTGTATCGTATCGTTAAATCCATCGTTGCATAACGACGAAATGTGCCACTTTATGTAATGACCGATTTAGTGTGGTCGCGTCGTTACCTTGTCTTTTTCTCTCAATCTCACCATTTATTATTATAAAATTATTTTATTTTATCATTTACACTACCTTTTTATATAGCAATTTTACCCTATATCATAATTTTTCTTTATAATATTGCAAATTTGTTCTTCGTATTGCTGGTGCATGATATCATGAAACGATGACAAACGACACAATCTATCCAAATATTGTATTTATCAAACGATACAGTACAATACAATACAATACGATACATTATGAAACGATGCGTAACAACCATCCAAACAAGGTGTTAGTAATGATCGATACGATACACACGTGCAACACACGTATACTAACACTAGTTCCTTTTAAAATTGGGGCCCCTCGAAATTGGGGGCTTAAAGGCATATTCCTTACTTGCCCAGCCCTTCAGTCGGCCCTGATAATACTAACTAATTTGATATTGATGCATCATTGATTAATATATAGTATTTTAAGCAATAAAAAACGCAGAAAAAAAAATATAAAAGTGCTTCTTGTATACAATATAAAACATCAAGATTCAAAATAATACTCCTAAGCAAAATCTAATATTTACCTTGATTAAGGTCGAAGGAATTTATACCATTTCACCACACTCTTCGTTGGTCTACCTCTTTGAATGACTTTATCTCAAGATTTCTTTTTAAAATTTTCTACTTGAAATTTGGTAAAAACTTTAGAAAATTGCTTTAGGCAGCATCTTTTTGTTTTTCCAATATATATAGTAGTCAAAAACGGAATTGTTATTTTCTCTTATACTAATAGTATAAAATAAATCTTGTGAATTTAATTTGTTGGCCAAAAGAATGATAATAATAATGCCAATAATAGAAAATAATATTTTTTTCAGCTAAAAGAAGTTCGTCTAATCTCATCTTGGTTGATGGACCAGATGTGCTATAATTTTTAATTAATTTCATAATTTGCATGTCGTTTCTAGAACCTTCTACTGTGCAATACTGCTTATCTATACTATATTAAAAGAACGAAGGTCTTTAGCGAAATATCGTTCGCCTTTTTTATCCCTTTAAAATAGAGTTAATATTGGACAAAATCGACATTTAAAATTGTTTCCTAATATTTAGAAATTTTAGATCAACTAAATTTTGTGATTTAAATTCTTCCTTATTTGAACTAGGTAAGAAATCCTAATATTAATTAGGACATTAAAATCAATTGAAAAATAAATTGTTAAAAAAAAAAGGAAAAACTATCAACAACCCCAATATTAGTGGTACGTGCGTTTAAAAAATGTTACTAATTTATGTGGTTTTCCTTATATAGACCAACTTAATGTTACTTATGCTATTACGAGGAGGAAAAATATAAATGCCACAAAGTTAGATGATGGAAACCATTGTAGACATGAACAAGACTTTTCAAATAAATATGAGAGAGTGATTAATTATTAATATTAATTTGTATAATTTATCTCATACTATAATATTAATTACACCTCAATAATTTCAACAAGTAACTATAAAAACATAAGAGAGAGAGAAGTGTTGGCCTGTTGGCAATAGTTAAAAAAACACGAATAACTTTGCAAATACAAATATCCAAACTTAAATATTAGATTGATTTATTATTCTTGAAAAATATAATTCTAAATAAAATTATAACTAGAGTCAAATATTTAAAACTTGTAGTGAGTTAGTATTATTAATTTCAATCAACAAAAATTAAATCATTTATTTTAATAAGAATTAATATTAAAATTTTGAATTAACAAATTAAAAACATAAATCCCATTCAATTTCTTTCCAAATTCATCATATAAGTAAACCCTTTTTTTCAGTTGACAAATTTTAGATGCAAAAATTAGATTTTTTTTTTTATAGGAATAGCATTTGTGGTGGAATGAATAAAAATTAATGCAAAATCGATTATAGTATAGTAATAAGCATCAACTGCAAAATTCTATAACACTCTTGAATAAATTTATACATATAATTTCATGATACATGGAAAGTTAAAAACAAAAAGAGTAGATTAATTAAAATGTAGCAGTTGAATTTACTTTTTGTGATAGTAATTTATTTTTTTTAATATGTTGAAAATAATTCTTATGGTATTTCTTATATATTAAAGAAATAGAACAAATTACATTTTGCTCGTGAGCAAAAAGAAGGCGTCTTTTGTCAACTGAATGAGATCATTAAGCACTTATATGGGATAGAGTTTCTTTCTTCTTCTTTTTTGAGTTAGCTAAATAGGATCAACAATTATCATTTTTAGAAACTTACAATTTTTAACTTTACCTTTTATTTTTGATAACTTAAACTATAATAATATAAAAATTATGTAATTAAAATATTATATTTATTGAGGTAGGGTAGCACGCGCAACGCGCGTACTCTAAGACTAGTAAATTTAAATAATTCCCGTAAATTGTTTATTGGGTTTCCTTTTTGTACCAGTAAATGGTTTCTTGCTTGACAAACGATATATATCCTAGTTGTTTCAGGACTAGGATTTGAGTTTAACTTATATATATATTGATTCGTGTAAAAAAACTTTTGCATTGGATCAACAGTGTTTGACTGTTTGGTATCTCAACTTTTCTTTACTTAAATACTAAGCTTTTGTCTGCGGTATGGTTCTAACCGCTTGTTTAGACGGTTATTACTTATTGTATGGTGTCGTATTGTTACTTCAAATATAATATTTATTTTGACTGTTATTTAAATTTTGTTGTATCCTATCATTAACTCTGAAAAGTTGTACTTTATGGAATTTCTGGAATGGCGGAATTTATTGTACTTTTTTCTCTCATCTTGCCCTTCCTTATTATTAATTAATCATATTTTATCATTCACCCTACTTTTTTATATAATAATTATATTTCATATTTTTTTTTCTTAGTAACGTTGCAAGTTTATTTTTCATATTGTTGGTGTATGACATGATGAAACGACGGCAAACGTTATCCAAACATTATATTTATCAAACAATACAGTACAATGCAATGCAATACAATACGATGCATTATGAAACGACACGTAACAACAATCCAAACTAGCTGTAAGTTCTAACGTGTGTGTGTGTGTGATATGTGTATTGTGTTCTTATAGCTAGATCAAACTCGAAATTTGTTCAAAAAGAGAACGTTGTTGTCATTAAAATCTTTTACTTGTTTGAGATAGATTTAATGGGAAAGGATCACAGCTAGAGTCAATATTTCCACTGGCATTGTTAGGAGGTTGCCATGTTTTTATTTAATAAAAAAAATTCTAAAGATCCAGTTTTTGCTCAACATTCCAGATTCACTTACATATTCCGAAGAATTATCTCAAAATTCCATTTTGACAATTTTGAATAATGAAATTTGTATGAAAATTCATTTAATGAAACTAAAAAAGAAATTGAACACTAGAGTGATTCTTTTTCAATGGGATTGCACTATTGCAGGATGTAGCTATGTAAAAAAAGACGTCAAAAGTTAAAAGAGTTTCTTGATGTATTGCACAAGGAGCTCTATAATAACTATTATAAAAATTAATCATATGTTATAGAAATTTCAGTTTTTGCAAAAAATTGAATACACATTTGGGGTAGTTTGCTCTAATACACATTTTAGTACCCCCTCCAAATTGGATTGTTAGTATGTCCACCAAAAGGAAATACACCAACCAATTTCTATCTTGTACCTTTTAGTTTTTTACCAACCACATGTATAGTAACAACCTATGTTGCTTGGATTCTCCAAAAATATCATGCACACGTATCAAAACCTCCAAAAATGCATTACTTTTCAAAGATCCACATAAGAGTGGAGACATTTTGGAGGTTCCGAGCAACATAGCTAACAACGATGCCAAACCCAAACAAAAGGTCACGTAAATGGCATTTGAATGTCCAAACGCCATAAGGAAAGAAGGAAATTGAGAAACTGTACCAATAAAACTGGTGAGTATATATATTACTGCACAGCTCAAATAGCCACATATATGAAGTTTAATATGGAAGCATTCAACATGCAGTCTGCAATGTCAATCGAAGATGTAAATGGTAAATTATTCAAGTTAGAACTTGGACCATAGCTTAGCCAAGACACTTATAATGTTACACATACAAGAGCGCGTCGAGATGCACATTCACAGGGTTGGGTTTTAATATCAAAGTGAATGTAGATCAGCGCCTGAATTTGGGGAAGGTGGTTGCATCAGGATTGAGCCATCTTCATCTCGAGATGGTAATTCTATGTCCTGTTCAAGATAGAAAAGGTAAAACTTGAGCTATCACTAACAGCAATAAAAGGTAACAAATAAATCTTGCTTGTAAGCCAGCCTACAAATACTGGATATCATGCTCTCTAAAAGTTAAAATCATGTATTAAAGCTTTTGTTGCAAATTTAAAATAAAACTAACATGTGCTCTCTTTAACAATTTAAGCTTTTAGAGAAGACAGTTACAAACTTTAACATGGTGATAAAACATGCAGAGGTCCGGAATTCAAATCTCGTGCTACCCATTGTCAAAACAAATTCCTAGTGCTTTGCCAAGAAACATAGTTGGGATCGCACATGATGTGGCGTGTTGCAGACTAAAGTAAATAAGGTGGCAGCTCTTTAACAACTTAAACCTTTTTTTTAATAATCAAGAAATCCTGAGGGCTATGGGCACATGGTTCAAAATTTGGTGGATAATGGGTCCGCTCCTCTACCCTTCTCTACTTAACAACTTGAACTTTTAGATGAGGCTCATAAGAAAAAAGAAGTTTAAGAAAAATGAATTAGATCAAGCAAGTGTAAACAGACAGCAAGCTCAAGTAGGCTCGTGACGTGGCTCAACTCACGCCATCGTTTGTTATTATAAAAAACTGAAGCCTAAAACTACCACTGTAAAGGTGTGGCTCAAAAGAATTTAGTAAGAATCTCTACACCTCAAATAATTTCAAAGCATCACTAAAAGCTTATGTACATCAAGAAAACCTAGACAGGGGGGGGGNAAGCAAATCTTGACTGGATAGGAATTAGAGACCAGACATGATGGACATGTTGCAAATAACCATAATAAAGACCTACCTGACAATGTTAGGTAAATGGTATAACTTTGTGCCTTATGGGCAACTAGGTGAAGCCGACCAGTTATCTCCTGTCCCGGCATGACATAAAGTGGTTGTGGTAAGACACACCGAAGCTGATACCAATGAGTTGTTGCTGCACCCGGAGCAGTGGTCAGCCACCTTTGCACAGTGCTGCAGAAAGAGGAAAGATTTAGCAACAAAAGGAAAAAGCCCAAGTGCCAGAACCAAGGGGATGAAAAAGTTTACCTTCCATTAAAAAGTACATCAAACCAGCAAGCCAGCCCATGAATTCTAGTGCTAACAGAAGACAGAAATCTCAACGGGATGTCAATTTCATATAAATCTTCTTCCTGTAATATAGATGCAGGAAATATCATGTTTCAACAACTTCTGGATAGAGTTTAGTGCCCACAATCTGTGTTACTTATTCAACAAATCTGATAACGCACAGTTAAAAGAGTAATTTCACTTCAGCTAAATCTTCCCTTCATTAACACCTCCCACTCCACGGTAAATACATTTTTTGTTCATTTCAAGAATATCATAAAGATTAAATATAAATGGAAAGCATATCAGAAGTAGATTGGAAAAGCATACTTTACACCTAAAAGTTACCGCTACCTTGTGTTTATGTCAAATTTATTTCTTTTCATGATTATCCATCAAATGTTAGTATACTATCTTGAATCCTGAAACTGAATCTCTGTGAAGCCTTATTCAATTTTCATATAAAGAAAGGAGAGTACATCTTTTACTTTAAAGATATTTTTTAAAATAACTGCTATGGACAGAGAAAGACCTAATCTGCAGTGCATTTTTACTCAGAACTACGCACTAGGAAACAGTATCTGTATAGTTTCCTCCCCGTTCATTTCCTTTACATTTTAACCAAGTGACCCCCGAGTCAGTAAATTTTTTTCTTATTCAACCATTGCCATACTTTAATAATAGTCCTTTTCCAGTATCAGAAGGAAAAGAAAAGGAATAGTAGGCCTACTCAGAATACAGAATGCATTGTCACTTCTTTTTACGTCATATAGAATAAAATGTTGATTGATAATACCTTTATGGAATTGAAGTTTATCACATGGGACACTGCAGGAGCTACCAATAACCTAGGATCGAAAGCATCAACAACTGGCTGCAAAAGGACAAGAATATCCAAAGAAAATGGAAAAAGAGTATGAGTCAGAAGGATGCATACCACAACCAAAACTTTATCTAATATTTAAGCTTTGACTATAAATCACAAATACACAAAATCTTTGGCTAACAAGTACATCTATTGCATTTCTTTTTCCTGAATAAATTACACCTATTGCATCTTAGAAGCCAAATTATTAAATTAAAAGTAGCTGGTTTATTGCATTTGAATAAGAAACTAATTGATTCATTCACCAGTTCAATATTTTGGACAGAAAAAAACAAGTAGTCCCTCCTACCATATATTCATATTGAACTAAGATAATACCCCTCACTAACGCTTTTTTCTTATGTCTTATGTGTCATATTGATTGGTTAGACACATTTTAAGCGTTAAGTTAGATTTGGTAGGACTATTGCCTAGATCAAACTAGTAACCTAGCATACTTTATAGCATCTGGATCTTTCAAGTTCCTTCAATCAACTTCCCACTAGAAAATGTTAAAGACATAACAAAATAAATAGAAATGTCCCCTCTCCAATAACTTAAAACTTCTTGATGAGGCGTTTGAAGCAATTTAACATGGTATTAAATCAGGCAGAGGTCTTGAGTTTGGTATCACATCTACACATCAACAAAAAAACATTTTCACATGCTTGGCGAGAGAGTGAGAGCGAATCTAGCCCTCACGTGAAGGGGCATCTTTTAATTTCCCTCTATAATAAATAAACTTTTAGATGATTAACACAGCCAATCAAAATAGTTTCTTCTTAAAACATTGACTTTGAATAAGCCCAAGCCTCCACACACTCAAGAGGAGGGGAAAAAAGAAGAAGAATACATAATATGTGTCAGTATAATGAACTTTCAAGGAGCATTTTTGGGAGTTTCTAAAACCCAAGAAAATATCTGAAAAGCCAATACAAAATACAGCGCTCTCATACATGCCAAAAAACGAACGGATGGATTTAACACTGGCGCAAGCTTTCAAAACAAATATGGAACCCCCC